GATGACGGCGTCAAGCCAGGATTATCAATGGCCTTACACATAAGGAAGTTGAGATCTGCCATGTCTGAGAAGTGCCTGTTGCAATTCTTGTAGCTAGCAAATGCCGCGTACGTTTTCTGGGCCAGCTCCCATAACTTTTCTCCCCCTTTCATCATATGAGCATTCAGAATAGCAGAGTGATAAAATCCTGGCAGAAGCAATGATTTGGTTAGTGAAACAAGGAAATGGCAGCAAGGCTAGCTAATGGCACTGAGAACTAATACTGGAGTCATGGAATGATCTCGTCCTCTCTCTATGCATGCAGTGGCGCCAATTAAAATATGCTATCAGGCCACGACGGCGCTGGGTCAGGTATAAATTAAAAAAAAAAATACCTGGTTCAATTCCAGAGGATATTGCTGTCATCTTCTGCGACTATTAACATATTTATTCTGATTTTTCGTTGAAAATGTCGTTTTTAAAAGTAATTTTTTTCATTTTAAATTAATATTTTTTTAATATTTTCAGATATTTTGATATATTCATGTTAAAATTAATTTTAAAATAATTTTAATATATTTTTAAATAAATAGCACTTTAAAAAATAACTATTATTATATTTTCAATCAACAATCTAATATTGCAAGCATAACTTTAACAATTTCTTTTTTAGCCACCATTTGATATAAAAAAAGAGTTTAAATCCTTCCATAAATTTATAAAATAAATATTCTATTATAATTTATTTAAAGTGTTGTTTTGGTACTAAAAATAAATATTCTATCTAATAATAAGGGCATTTATAGTCGTCAGATTATTTTTAAGAGCTCACGGATCCCATCATTTTAAAAGCAACATTCATTTACTTACTTTGCTTTTATAAAATAAATTAATCTCAATTCTTCTACTTCAACTACTCTCTGTCGTTTCTTTTATTTATTACCAACATTATTATTTTTATCTGGTGGGATACTGCTCTATCAAGGCACAAAACACAAAACTCAACAATACACTGAAGTAAAGTTGCCTTTACAAAGAGAAAAATAGAGTAGCCTAAATGCATAGAAAAACCATTTAAGCAAATCAACAAATAGAGACCTGCAAAATTAAGTACTAATAATAATATAATGAAATATTTATTTAATTTCATGATAAATTTATAAAAAAACAAAAATAAAATTAATTCTAAAATATATAGAACAATTCAACTCTTATAGATATAGAACCATTTATTTATTTAATGTCATAATAGTTATTGAAAAGTAAGAGAATCAAAGTTAAATATATAGAACCATTCAACTCTTATAGATAGCGAGCTTTACTCAATTCTTAAAAAATTGAAATGAACTTCTAAGTAAAAAAAAAAAACCCAATATATAAATGTAGAGAGTGAATAGTAATGTTAAATATTCTAAAATTTATAAATAATAAACTTTAATCATTTTAATATTTATTTCATAGCTAAGAATATGTTTTCAGTCATGTTGGTCATTTCACATGGAATTGTTTTATACTAGTTTGACTTAGTTTAAAGCTTAGACCGCTGGATTGTCTTGTTAGGTTAACTCGTGCGTCACCCAGCCAACCGACGGCTATTATTTTTGTTTAAAATAGTACTATTTTAATTTTTTTAATAAAGATCTTAATTTTAATCTAACCAAGTTTATATATTGGATGAACTTATTAAATTATTTAAATTTGACAGGTCAATGTCAAAAACTGGTTAAAATAAAACTAAATTGACTCCTGAAATGGAACAACTATTAATAAATATGCCATATGGATAATTTTGTATGATCTTATATGAAGTGATATCAAACTTTGACTAATTATAATATATACTTCTGTAAACTAAAAGAAAAGAAATATAGAGCATTTGTGTGAAGTGCACTTTGCCAGTTGTTTTTTCTATTCTTGCTTATTTATCAAAATATCATGGAGAAATTATATTAATTACATGTCTATATGTTGGCACGCATTCAAGCTAGCATGTGAACCATGATCGGAAGGAGGGCTTACCAAAATGGTGATTAGAAAGAGTTGGATCAAGAACTGATCTGCAGTCAGTCAAGGTGACGACTGCGTACTTTCTTTGTTTATCCACACGACTCTTAGATTTGTGTGCAGCTATTAATCCCGCACTTGCCAAAGCCCCACACAGCTTAATTCCTCTTGATTTGCAGCCCTACAAAATTTAAGACAGCTTGTTTAATTTATCTGTGATGAAAAAATGGAGAGTTTCGGAATAGATGCTTGCAGATCTTCATAAACATAAATCCTATCTATAGTAATAGTACGTTCATGTCTTCACTTACATGGGGTCCATGCAGAAAATAAATTGATCATATGAAAGTAGCATTTGATTAGCATTTTTGTCTAAAAAGATTATATATAAGGCAACAAACAATGGCATAATGTAATAATACAAGTCCTCGTACTTACAGCAATGATCGTCTCCGTGTCCTTTTGGTTCATCTGCAACCTTACCACCTGAGAAGATCTTGGTGACCTTGAATCCTTGAATTTCAGATTTGTTAGTCTAAGTGAATTCACCGAGTAACCAAGCATGTCAATCCCACGCTCCCACAAACCCTTCTTAGCCTTCTTATTAGGAACAAGATCCTCAATTCTCGAAGTAACCTCCCCTTCATTTGCTATTTCCTTCTGCAGAGCACCTCTCTCCTCTTCACTCACCAGCACCACCAGTTCCTGCAGCAAAGACACAGCCGTGGTTCGGTCACACGCCGAGGCATGAAGCCTAAGAACCAGTACCCACTTTGCGTTAGGGAGGGCATAGGTGGTAGCAAAAAACATATCTTGAATCTCATTAATGGATGATGGTGCCTTGTTATGGTTATACCATGAGTTTTGGTTAAGTTCATGCTCAAGGACCAGATGGAGGGGTGAGAGAGATTGGTTTTTTGGGTTCAATGGGTTTTCGAGGATTTTGAAAGTCGACGAGAGGTTGAATGCTTTCAGTTTAATGAAAGGAGTGGGAGAAGTAATGAAGGAAAATGTGTTCGTGTTGCTGCCAGAATGGAGTCTTGACCTAAGGATTGGATGAGAATTTTGGAGTTTGTGGAGAGCATTCTCTAGAACCGAGTTTCGAGGGAGCTTAGATGTGAGGATGGCCAAGACGGCTATGCCAGTGCCACCAGGCACCGCTCGGCACCAGCTGTGCTCGGTGCCTCCCACTGCTCGGGCCTTGGGCTCAGCTGTTTCTGGACTGATCAACGTCTGGCAAGACATGTAAATAATGTAGTAGAAGAAGAACAGTAGAAATATTTGCAGCCTTTGGTATACAAACCTGGCCGGGCAAGGTATGATATGATGTGGTTCCAGTAGGAATTTATATAGAGGAAGCGATCGAGCACATACGTTTCATCAACTTTTAGATTATTTTAGTTTTTTTTTATCAAAATAAATATAAACATTAATTTAGTTTTTTTCATATAAAAATAATAATTAAAAGTACATGCATTGCGATGCAAAACGGTGTGCAGCTAGTCGTTCGGTTTCAAAAGTAACTAGCTATATTATTTTAATATTCAGCTCAAAGATCAACCACGCAAGTCTGGTAAATAATAATTAATGCTTGCGTTTTTGTTGTTTCATTTTTATTTTATCATATATTTTTCCTAATAAAGTTGAAAGTATTCTCTGATATTTGATTATGCATCAAGAATAATTGCTGTTTATTTCTACATTTTAAAAAAATTTAAAAAATTTAAAATTTAAATTTTTTTATTTATTTAAAATTAATATATTTTTAGTGTTTTAAAATCATTTTAATTTATTGATGTTAAAAATAATTTTTAAAAAATAAAAAAAATATTTAAAAAATAACCATAATTACATTTCTAATGAAATTATATGCACACCATCACACCCCGAATTGATATACCTTAAAAATACTGCATTTCTCTAATGCTTTATGCAGATAATTTCCGCATTCGTTTATAGAAATGACTGTCCTGTTTCTTCAATGCATATAGGTGTGTTTTTACCTATATTTGTCTACAATTTTATAAACTGAACTCGTAGATTTTATTTTACTCTACCGAGGACACAAGTGCTTTATCAACTTCATGATTACATCGCGTGGGATGCAACCAATATTATTCACTCTCTCACCAAACATCCTTCATGGCTTTATTTATTTTTTTAAAAATAATATTTTAATATTTTAAGTTTTATTTTAAATAAATTAATTTTAATTAAAAGTCCATTAATTTAAATTTATTTTAGAATAGATTTATCATAATTGCTAGGATATTTTGGGTTAAAATAAATTGAAAAATAAATTTTATATAAAGAATATCAAGCCTTAATTTTTCAGTCACTGCAATAAATAAAATCTAGGTAAATCAAACAAGATATTATCTGACTTAGTTAGTGATATATCATCTTAATTTTTTTTTTTAAAATCATACCATTTGTCCTAATTGCAACAAAAAAAAGGATTCAATTGGGTGGGTATTGAAAAAATAGGCTTGATGGACTCGCTTTGTTTGACAGGCCTAATAGCGCTTGTCCTTTGCTATTTTTTAAAAAAAAAAATTAATTATTTTTTCAATTAATTTATGTGGTTTTTTCTTTGATTTTTTTTTTATTTATATTTAAACCAATAACCTTCTCTCTTTTGTTTTGTTTAGAGAACCTATTTTACATGAATTTTTTTTGTTATGCATTTAAATTTTAAAAAGTTTTTCTGATTCATTTATATTTTTTTTATCTTTTGTATATATAAAATTTATTTTAAAAAATAAAAATTTATTTTCAGATAATATTTCTAAAATGTGCAGTCTTACATAATTTTTTTTCTCATTTTATTTTATTTTATTAATTTAATTTGTATCTCTATTTCTATTATCGTTTGCTTTAATAAATAAATTTAGCAGATACAACTAAGTAAATGTCATAACTTGCAAGATTAAATATTTTAATATATATATATATATGTCTTTTATTTTTTTAGTCATATTTATGGGTTTTTATTATTATTTATTAATACATATATTTCTCAATATATTTAATTACATATATGCATAAGTTTTTGGATATTTAAGGGTTAATGTGTAGCCTAGAATTGTTAGTAGCTTGCAAGATAAGCATATTAAATTTAATTATGATACATTGGCTAATATTTTGGGTATTTTAAATAAAAGATCTAGAGTCTTTAATATAAAGATAATATCTATAATTGATGGTTTTGTTTATAATAAAGTTATTATCCTGCATATTGGTTGACACGACTTTGCTCCTAAAGCAAAGATTACGAGTCAGGATTTACTATTATAACCTATGATAATTCCTAAAATCATTACACATAATATTTTTTTTTAAGAAAAGGCAATATAATGAGGTTACATTTATAGACATGTGCTTGATTGATTATATAATAAAAGGTTGTCTGAACAACTTACCATAAATTACAGTGAAAAACATGATCATGACACATAATAAAAAAACAAGAGTATTTTCCTTACAATTAATGTTTTAACTTTCATCTTTGAATATTTTGAGATATTACTAACAGCATGAATAAGATATTATTTTCCAAGTTTATGGAGACAGATAATAAAACCCTCATTAAGCTAATAATATGCTTGGTTAATAATAATTTTTTAAATATATTTCATATAAAGAACACATCAACAAACATGACGGAAATCCAAGAAAGAAGCAAAGTGAAGATTTAGTTTAAATATTTATTTTAGTACTTAATGTAAATCTTTAAATCCTACCTGATAGTACAATTAAAAGAATGCACATTTCACTCTGCATGTATTAAAGAATTGATAAATAATATGATATAATTTAAGATAAATGGTTTAAAAAATTCATTTAGGTTAATTTATCAAAATTAAAACTCTATATGAACCGATTAATTATATGGTATGACCAAATAAAATGGTTGACTATTTTAGTTGTCAGTGGAGCTATAATAACTATAAGTGACTAGTTTTTTAAAGTGTATTTTCTCATTCTCACTATAAGAGTATATATTTTCATTCTCTCTACGTTTAAACACTTTCTAATCCCATATGTGTTATATTGTGAGATAATGAGATACTAGAAGTTTTAATTGTAATATATGCTCAAGAGTTAGAGAAAAACTCTTAGTTTTGGTGATGTATTTAAAATCATGAAGATGACATATCTTCATGTGAAAGAAAAATCTTAAAGCGAAAATGTCTTTAAATTATATAAAAATCTTAATGTGGATTCATCAAGTTCCCATTATATTGACAAGTTAAAGAATACAATCCTTAAATATAGTTTAGCACTTGAGGTGTAGATTTTTTATACTATGTTAAAAATGTGTTTACAAATTCTCTCCCTTATCTTTTAACTTTAAGTAATTTAATTATATTATTGGTTATTACATGTTTGAATTAATTTGCATTATTTGTTAATAATAATAATATACTTAATTTACTTCTATCTTAATTGTTATAATTACCCTAGTCCTTGAACAATAAGAAGTGTTCTAACAAAAAAAAATATTTTCATGATGTTTTTGAAAGTGTTATGTCACACTCTTGTTGGTGATTCAATAAATGTTGCTGAATGCACAATGAGTGGAAATTTTTTATTTTTTTTAATTTGATTTATTTTTTAATTTTATATTTTAATATTTAACTTGCTAAAAATTAAATTTTTTTTTATTATTTTATTTTTTATAAAATTATCATACGCTTATGTAATTTATATTTTATCACCAGACAAGATGATGGAAACCTTTTAAAAATATATGTAATATTGATAAGCATTTGTTTTTGAGGTAATTATTATATTTTTTAATTTTTTTTTTTATTATTTTAAATATTATTAAATTAATCATATTTATTCAACCAATTCAATTCAAGTCCATTAGTAGTTTTCAGTCCTTCTTTGGAAACACCCGGGTCACCTCAGTATTTGTCTTTATATACATATTAGAAAAAAACAAACGGGTCGCCGATCTATTATTTCCTAACTGCCATCGATTCCTTATTAAAAACACGGCCGACAATTTCAGTTTTTTTCACAGCTTCTGGGTGTCCGTACATGGCATCATTTAAAGCTTCTCTGTAAGTTTATTAATTGACCCCCACCCGCTCCCTTCCTCCTCTCCTTTAATATGCTTTGAAAAAATGGTGTCAACCGGCGAATGAGGAGGTAATTCTTGTCGTGCATCCACGGCTGAGCACTTATGGTATTAATAAAGAGGATTTGACATGTCGCCCATGCTCTACCTACACGAGCATTGTAGTTGAGAGACTTCACGTGGCCCCTATATTGTCTGCTTTAATTTAGGATTTTTTTTTTAAGAGTTATAATAGGGTTACAATTGTTTTTTAAAATATTTTTTATTTAAAAATATATAAAAATAATATATATTCTTTGTTCTTTAAATTTATTTTTAATATAACCACATTAAAATTATCTAAAATTACTAAAAATATTAATTTAAAATAAAAAATTAAAAAAATAACTTTTAAAACATAAAAATAAACCAACTTTTAAAAAAATTATTAAAAAATTATAACCTTTGTATATATTTTTTTCTTAAAATAGAGAGCAGAATATCACACCTAAACCCATTAACCATTTCTATCCTTCACTTCAGCAGCCATTGTTAAAGAACAAGGAAACAAATCTCAACAAGTAACCCTCTTTCTCCAACGGGCCACAATCTCTTTTCCTTGACTCAGTCTCTCTCTGATAAGCTCTCTTCCTGGTTTTTCTCATGATTTACAGCCAAGCTCGAGAGTTCCGAGTATCATGAAGTTTTTTGCTGTCTTGTCCCCTCGTCCCCTCTCCTGTAATCTCATCTATGCAATCTCGCCCCTGATGTTCCGTCTCCTTACCAACAAATATAAGATGGTTTTGGAGACGAGTCGACTCAGAGAGTAAATTAGCTGTAGTTTTATGAAGAAAAATGAGTAGTTAGTTAACTGAAAAGGTCTCTTTTATGTTCTTGTAAGTTTATCCAAAATCGGAAAGGAAGCACCGAATCCCTTGAGAAGCTCATTCAAAAATGATTGGCCATGGCCATCCTTGAAAATTTATTAGGGTTGAAGAATAAGCTGAACATACAGCAAAGATGATGAAAGCAACATCTGATACAAGTTTGATCACGACAAAATAAAATAAATTCATCATTCTCAAATCCAAAAATCCAACCAGCTGCTCTCTCACAAGTGTTTTAGAAGCCATGTTTATGATTTACAGTTGATCGTGATTTTTTATATAGATTTTCAAGAGATTGAGATTTGGGAGATTAAAGATTTTTAATTTTAAGATTTAGATATTGACAAGTGGAGAAGAGATAAGAATTCGAAG